CTGTGTGTGCGTGTTCCAGGCCCGTTTCTGGGACTGAACCCCAACCCCAGGGGCGGAGCTTCCGAAGGGCTGCCTGAACACTCTCAGTAAAGGAATGGGTGAGCTGGGTTCTAACTGGTTCTGTTGACGTGCAGGAAGTGTAGACCACGTCTCTTTCCCTTGAGACTTGTCTAAAGGGTTTCGAAGGACTGAGTTTAGTGACCCCCACATATGTTGGCTTATTTAAGAACTGTCCCATCTCTTGGCAGCAAGCGCTGTGGTGACAGTGGGGGGTGGAGCATCTTTGGAGCAATCTCGCGCTGTGTGTTTACCTCTGACGGTCTTCGTGCCTGTCAGAGCAAGTCTTAGACCAGGGTATCATTAGCAGCTATGCCGTGAGGTGATTACCCCTCGATCGTATTTATAATTCAGCTTTCACTTTTGATTCTAAATTCAGAAATACACTGCCTCTGGCCACACACAAGGAAGAATAATGATTGCCAATGGCGCTGGGACAGCCCAGCAGTGTGGCGAACTGGTTGGTGTGCTGGGTGGCAGTGGGGAGGGTTAGGAGTGGGGGGAGTGGCAGGCGGGGCGAAGGAGGAAGAAAGTGCTGTGCTTTCTTAGGGCTTTAGATCAGCTCTCCCACAGAACTTGAAAGCAAACCACATGTGCAATTTAAATTTTATAGAAGCCACCATAAAAATGTAAAAATAGCTGGAATTAATTTTTAATTGTGCTTGATTTGTCCCAATTCATCCAAGCACATGTAACCAATATAAGAATTATTAAACTATTTTTTTTTATTTCTCTCTTTCTCTTTTATTTGTTTGTGTCCTTGTGATCCAGAGTGTGCTTTATACTTTCCAGTCATCTTAATTCAGGCTGGCCACGTTTTAAGGGTTGTGTCGTGACATGCAGGCTAGCGGCTGCTGTCTCAGACGGCAAAGATCTAGGCACATATATGTTGGAAGACTTATGAAAAGTCGCATTTGATTTTTAAATATTATGTGGATGATAGCAATGATTGTGTGTGTGTGTGTGTGTGTGTGTGTGTGTGTGTGTGTGTGTGGTGTTTAATATAATAGTAAAAATGGGAACATAGTGTAGCTGTGTCTCAAACATGGAGGTGAAGGAAAACTGGAGGGCTCCCCTAGACTTTGTCTTCTGTATCATCTCACTGGTGCAGACTCAGTTTTCAAAGCGGATGCCTGTCTTCTTCCCTCCTTCCCTCCCTCCCTTCTTCTCTTCCTTCCGCTTCCTTTCTCTCTTTTTGCCCCCTCTCCTCCGCCTCTCCCCATTCTCTCTTTCTTCATGCTCTAAAATATTTCAAGCAATACCGTTTTATCTTTCCGTTTTCCACTCACACTCTATTGAAACAGTGCCATGGCCGAAGGACAGAGATGACTTGCATTTTTGTCCGGCTCCAACAGAATGTCTTTGTCAATGCATTTAGGACCAACCTTTAAAATGTTTGCCAGGGCATTCTTGCACGTAGGGGGTGGGGAGCAGCTGTGGAGCTGGGGTGCAGCTTGCTTTGCCTCTCTAATACCGGGGTTCAACTCCATGCCTCAGCCTGGTGGGTCATCCCCACTGAAATATCCCTGTCCCAGGAAGCTCTGGGGCAGCATTCCCTAGTAGACCCCCCACCATGGGCAACCAGAGCTCCAAGGCTCCCCTGGTGATATGGCTGCTAAGGAGAAAGTCGGGGCTCCCCGTATACCCGTGAGAAGGCCAAACCAAAAGGTCACCACCCCAAACAGGCAGCTCAGACCATTGAGTCAGCACCATCTTATTTAGCCAAGGAGCTGAGGCCAAAGGGGAGGGTTCTCCCAAGAAGATCCCTGAGAAGAAGAAATTCTCTAAGACACCTTTCAATTTTGTTCAAACACTGTGCCATAGTCAGTTTGCAAAGCTCCGAGGGTCCTCCACAGTGAGAAAGACAATTGGTCCCCCTCTTGCTCTTTGGCAAACATTTATTTATTTTTAAGGGACAACGTTTATTCCTTTTTCAAATGTTACAGCAAATCTGTGTGCAAGAGAATGATTTTAGCAAGAAACAAGGCAGAATAAAACAGCCCCAAGTACAAATTTGGGGTTTGGCTCCGGAAAGTTATCTACAACCGTGGTAGGAAAAGACACAAGTTGTTTCACGGTACAGACCTCCTGCCCGCCCCAATGCCTGACACTTGCTTCCTGAGTCAAAGGGACGCGCCTGATTCTCAAGCTGGAGGTTTGAACTTCAGAAAGACATTTATAAAAACCCAGACAGGGCAATGCCGTCCCCAGCCCCCGTGCCACTAGGCACGGCACCAGAGACTGAAAACTCAACACAGGGAGGCTGGGCACTCAGGGATTGGAAGTATTATACCCCCCTCACTTCTGGCTCAGAGGTTTAGGTAGGAGTGGAGCCCAGGAAGGAGGGAGGAACAGGGGCATTTCACACTACTAATCTAAACTGAGAAATCCTAAAGGACCATATCCAACTGGCCTTAAGGGGAAGACCAGATTGTTGATGGGAGAATCCATAGGAGGGAGGGGAGAGGAGAGGGGAGGGGAGGGAAGGGGAGAGAAAAGGAGAGGAGAGGAGAGGAAGGGAGGGGAGGAGGAGGGGAGGGGAAAAGGAGAGGAGGGAGAGGAGGGGAGGGGAGGGAGGGAAGGGAAGGAGAGAAGGAGAGGAGAGGAGGGGAGGGGAAGGGAGGGAAGGAGAGAAGGAGAGGAGAGAAGGGGAGGGGAGGGAAGGAGAGGACAGAAGGGGAGAGAAGGAGAGGAGGACAGGAGGGGAGGGGAGGGGAGGGGAGGGGAGGTAAGGAGGGGAGGGGAGGGAAGGAGAGGAGGACAGGAGGGGAGGGGAGGGGAGGGGAGGAGAGGAGGGGAGGGGAGGGAAGGAGGGGAGGGAAGGAGAGGAGAGGAGAGGAGGGGAGGGAAGGGGAGGGGAGAGGAGGGGGAGGGGAGAGGAGGTGGAGGGGAGGGGAAGAAAAGAGAAGGGAGGGGAGGAGAGAGTTATTCAGGTGGGCTTATTTCTGAGAACATGTGTGGGTAACATGTTCATTTTTCAGTGTTGATGTAGTATAATGGACCTGAGGGTCTAGGGCTTAGACAGATCCCCTGATAGACAGAAAATTGGAAAAGGGGGGGCTGCTAATAGACAATAAAGATGGCAGACTTCCAGCTTCTTCATCATATTCCTAATGGGAAATAAAGGACTGGTGGCATTTTTCTCCTGACAGTAGGGTCCTCTGGCCCTGGACCAGTCTCACAAGTTCAAGGTTGGATCAGGGCACGCTTATTCCAAAGTCGTGGGCCTGTCAGCCTCTCTGTCTTTAGCTTCAAACTAGCCAACACTAAATTAGGGAGGAAGACCCCTCAAAGATTCTTAAAAGTCCCAGGCCCAAGGAGAGAGCAGACCCCAGGCTCCCGAGTGTCCCCTCTCTTCCCCAGAAGGTCTTTCTCTCTGCTTGCTTTCTGTGTGTGTTTTCTCCCATCCCTATTAAAAGCCTTTCTTCACAGGGTGACTCTGCTGTGTCCGAGACTTCCTCTGTTGCTACCTGTTAATGCTCAAGACTTTTCCTGCCTTTTTTATTCTTTCAGTGGGAGAGGAAACGAACTCCATCAAGACCTTAGATGGTAACAGAATGAATTCTAGACTGAGGGCCAGGAGAGCTGGTTACTAGCCCAGGAACTGGTCTGAGAAGGAAGACACAAACTAATGTACGTTAAACTTGCTACAGCACGAGGCATTTTATAATGGCTTGTTTCCTTCTCACTGGCAGCCTAAAAGTTAGAGACACAGCTGGTGCACCTGTCGAGGAAGAAGCCGAGACTGAAAACCTTGAGCCCTGGCTTATTACAGAATCCGAATATAATCTTAACTCTGATTTCAAAGCTGCTGTGTCCTTAACATTGTAATCTATATGCATGCCATATAATAGGTGTATTTTCCATTAGAGTTCAGCCAGAGCAGCAGAAGCAATCATACATATGTATGAATGCAAATATGTGTAGGTGGTAAATATTTGTTACGGGGAATTGTCTCTCCCGCGTTTGGGAGGCTGGCTAAGCAGGATGTGTAAGGATGTTGTTGTCCTCACATCTGACGTTGGAGCTCAGTGTCCTCAGGGCATCTGTCCTCATAATGGAAAGATCATGGGCGTATGCTCAGCAAACACAGGGTGTAACTCCAGGGAGACAAACTGAGCCCCATTTCTGTTCTGGTTGCTTCCGACCTTGGTGATAAAGCATCCTACAGAAGTTTTGTCCTTCCTCATGGTACTAAAACCTCACAAGTGGCCCCGAACTCACTCAGAGAACCCAAGGGAGGATCCAGGGGGAGGGACAGTGATCACCCACCATGTGGCCTTGGCAGCCTTGAGTGGAATCAGCTGTGGCAGTGTCCTGTTGATCACAGCACAGTCGTTGCTTTTTTTTTTGGATGTTATGTTTTCCTAAGAATTCTCTGGGTGGCCCACCCTAACTGAAAACACACACAGAAGGGGTTTCTGGAAGATGTAGCTGAGTCTGTACACGTTGACCCATGACAAAGCTGTCATGGGCATTCAATAAATATTTGGATGATGTTGTGACATTTCTCTTGGAAATTCTTGCAGAGCTGGGTTACTCTATCCTGGCTCTGCCTCTCATACACCAGGCAGTTTCAGACAAGTCACTGAGCTCTTGGAGTCTGTTTTCCTCATTTGTAAAGCTCCAAAAAAAAAAAAAAAAAGAAAGAAAAAAAATCACTGCTCAGCCTACTGAACACGAGTTTTTACCAAATCAGTTGAGACAAACTGAACAGAAGCATAAAACAAGCATGCTGCTGTAGTGCATTGTTTTAATTGCTGTTACCAATAATTTAGTTCTTAAATGAGTCACGTGAGAGATTAACGGTTTCTGACTGATTTGCCGTGCACGCAGCCAGGAAGAATAGGTAGGTGAAAGTGTAGAAACACTGTCAGCGATTCCATGGCCTATTCCTCATTATCATTGTCATTCAAGGTGATGATCCATTTTCACATTACTTTTTAGCTCCGGGTTGAATGACTTAGACGGACAAGCATGTAACTGGAGCTATTGGTGGCTTTGGAAGCTGAGGGGCAGTGGCCCTTCCTTGCGTGGAAGTTGTGGGCATTGGATGAGGTTTCGGTCCTATAAATCTGGGCTTGCATTTCATAACAGCCAAACTTGCTCATCAGGATGAAGAAATCCCTGCGGAAGTTCTTGGTGAAGATGGCGTAGAGGAAAGGATTGGCACAGGAATTGATGGGGGTAGAACAGAACCAGGAGGATCTTGGCCTTGGACACAGTGATGAGGGGCACCTTGAGTGAGGCCGAGATGGCAAAGAAAGAAATGGGGGCCATGCAGAGGAAGTCAGTGAAGATGAGTGTGGCCATGCGCTTGGCGATCCTGGTGTCGCTTGATGAGGACACAACGTTAGGATTCCTCACTGTGAGGTAGATATGGGTGTAGCAGCCACAGATGACTACAAAGGCCAGAACATTGAGCACAAGGAGGGCCACAACATACAGCTGCGACAAAGGACTGTCGATATCCATGGGTAGGCAGATGCTCACTTTCATGTAGCTGCTGATTCCGAAGATGGGGAAGAGCGCGGCTGCGAAGGCAAAGATCCAGCCCATCGCCATGATGCTGGCAGCATGGCGGAGCTGCACCTTGCACTCCAGTTGCATGGCGTGAGTGATGGTATGCCACCTTTCCAGGGTGATGGCTGTCAGCGTATAGACTGACAGTTCACTGGCAAAGACAGTGAAAAAGCCAGCGGCATCACAGCCCGGTCCCGTTTGCCAGTCAATGGCGTAATTGTGGTACTGGCTCTTGGTGTGGATATCAACCGACGCTATGAGCAGCAAGTAGACTCCAATGCAGAGATCAGCGAAGGCGAGGTTACACATAAGGAACCGGGGCACTGTGAGTTTGTACTGGCTCGTCGTCAGGATCCCCAGCACTGTGATGTTCCCAGTGATGGCCAGGATGCTAATAAACCATATCAAGACTCTGAGGATGTTGTACCCCATGATATCTTCACATGGATTGAAGGCATCTGGCTTTGGGGAGCAGGTCACGTCAACAACTTCATTACATAAGTCATAGTCAAATTCACTGTACATCGCGTCAGATTCTTTTCCATAACTGGGTTCATCATCTATCACAGAGACACTCTGATCCCTAGCTTGAGTCACATAATCAGTATCTTGCCTTAAAATAGATTTGTTGCAAATTGGATGAAGTTCAGAGCTAGAAAAAAAAATACAAAAAGGAATAGAATCAACATCCTGGGTACAGAATGGCAAATATATTATCATCTTTGTGCAGCATCTTCTTGAGATTGTTTTACTTTCCAACATCTTGTCTGCCCTTGAGGCTGACTCATGGGTTAAGGCTGCTTACTGTAAATGAGCACAACAATGTGTGGATACATATTCCTAGAGCTGGATAGGCCACAGGGGAAACCATCTGGCCACAACCTGAATGTGGGGAGGAAGGCGCCTGGGACTAGCTAACCTTTGCTGTTAAGTGCAAATAATTTACAGACTTGATATTATCTCTACTTCTTTCCTTTCTGTCTCCATTCAGGTATCTTCTAGCATGCCTGGGCAGACATACTCCTATTCTCTAGTCTAATCACTGGGAGATTATGTCCTCTGACATGAATGAGGGCTTATTTGCTAGTTTTATCTGCACGAACCAGAGCATGAGAGTCTGGAGTTAATTCTTGGGCAGCCCCATCCTTTGGCTCTTGGGTTCTCGGGCTATTGAGAGGCCAGTTAATTTTCCTGAAATGCTACCAGGATCTTGTGCTTTATCATCTCACTCCCCAGAGGTGACAATAGGTCTCCGGCATTCATTTGCCCTGCAGATTAAGCCTGGTTCTCTCATATGAAATAGTTCCCTTGGGGGCGGCCAGCTGAGCAAATGCAAGTTTTAAAGGAGCCTCATTTATTCACAGGTTGTAACATCTCTCAGGAGCCATGAGTCCTCTCAGGGAAACTTCCTGTCTTTTTTTTTCTTTCTTTCTTCTTCTTTTTTTTTTCTTTTAAGCCCAAATATATGAGACCTTGTCAGCAGGATAATGAGACCCCGGTAGTAAATATTCAACCTATAAGTGTATGCATAAGTATCTACTAAGACTCTCGCGTGGACAGAAGCAATACTCTTGTAATGTAAAGGCTTAACAAGTGTGACTCTTTCACACGGGAGAACTCTTGATGGAAAAAAGAAATCAAACACATATCTTTTTTTTCTTCAAAAATATATCTTTACTCTTCCTTCCCTTACTGCTCCAGGGGAGAGTTCACAGGAATGTTAAACGAGAGTGTTTTCTCAAATTTAACACACACTCAGACAGCAGGGAAGTGAGAAAGAGCACTAAAGCCCCTCAAAAGCGCCCCCCCCCCCCCAAGAAGCAGGTGACTGGGAGAGGAGCCGCCCTCAAGTGCTTCTACAGGACGGGAGCATGTGTGTCCAGTGCAGCAGACTGAGCGTTCCCCTCCCCCATTGAGAAGGGGCATCCTGGAGAACTCTTCCCTCACTGGGAAATGAATTAAATGGCCAGAAGTCAGTTTATCTTGACCTTAGAGATTCTGTCTTTCTTCTTTTCTTTTTGGAGTGTCATCTTTTATTTTAGACACTGAAAAGATCTCTCAAATCTGTCCCAGCTACTCTAAGGAGGACAGTTGACACACATAACTGAAAATGGCTGGAATGGGAAGCCAGGGAATCATTGAGTTTAGTCAGTGAACTAAAGTGAGGTGAGCTCTGGGATAGGTGTAGAGGGGACAAGAGGGCCATTCTGTGGTGCTTAGCTTGAATTCTGTCTCTGGGTTAGTTGGAACCCAACTCTAGGGGCAGAAAGGAACTTCTCTGGTGCTTGTGGATTGCAGTCTGGCTCAGTGGAATCGGAGCTGATTTCACTGTGGAGAGAAAGTCTCCTCTTCCTGGGGTTACTGGCTTTAGTAAAGAGGATTTTAATCATCGGTGCTACCACCGACCTACTTAATAGTGAGCTCTCCTTTTCTTGAAGCAGAAGTCACCCACTGACACGAGGTACTTATGTCCCTGGAGATAACAGTTGAAACAAGAAGAGGCAGGCGGCTGGGGGAGGAGCCGCCCTCATGTGCTTCCACAGGATGAGAGTTTGTGTGAGGAAAATCAGTGTGGCCTTGCGGTATCTTGGCGAATCCTCAGTAGACTAAGGAATGGGGAGTTAGCACAGTGATGGTTTAAAAGTGGAACTTGAGGACTCCAGCCACTGAGGGACAGATGCTAAGTGGATGGCACCGGAGAAAACCCTGGAGCCTGAGCTCTGGAAGCAGGCAGAGCTGAAGTTTGGAAGCTTCATTTGGTCAATGCTGATCCAGTTATTCAGTAGCTCGGAGCCCCAGTTTCTGCCTTTGTCTGAAGGGAATCATGCTGAGAATGATGATTCACTCTGCAATGTTAGCAATAAGGGTGGAAGGTGCTATTGTGTACGGCAGGGAGTGCTCGGCTCCGCCAGCAGTGTGAAGACCAGCTGATGGTGCTCACTGGGTTCATGGTGGGCTCTAGGCCTGTGTGTGTATCTGGAAGCATGTGCCACGGTGCACCAGTTTCAAATGCAGTTGTAAGAAAATGGCCTAAATGCAAGGGAACTCAAAGGACAGAGGAGAAACAAAACAGAGCTAGATGAGTATAGAAAATATCTGACCTCGGTCAAGGGGTGTGGTTGACCCAGCACTTCAACAGGAGTCCAGGAGGGCTGTTAGCCCAAACCCCGAGGCATCATGGGGCTTATATTTATATTGTGGGTATTATTTCCCAACCAGGACCAGAAGCACAGTTTCATGAAACAGCTTAGAAGACAAATCTTATTACCAAACCTCCGTTCACATGCTAGGTAACGAAATGACACTGTATTAGAAGAAATTCTGCTATTATCTTCTAGACAGCAAGTCATTTTGTGTTTGTTGGTGATGTGTGTGAATCTGTTGGGTGAAAAAATAAACAAACAAACAAACACCCCAAACACCCACATTTGGGTACATGGTGAGAGACCTGTGGGCCTCATCTTTGGTATACCCCTACAGGCCTTCATGAAAGCTATAACAGGGACCCAGAAGGTATAAGGACCAAGTGACCTGGAGGGATCAGAGAAAGCTTATGGTATGCAGCACCTAAGGCAAATTTGAGGTTTCTGGTTGAGAGAGTCCTAAGGTTTGGTCCACATAACCAGGAGGTGGCAAGGTCAGAGGTCTCTTAGCAACAAAGTAAGAGTCTTTCCTATGGTTCACAGGCACAGGGCCATAGAGCATACCAGCAGTCACTCTTACGGTGACCTTAATATTCTTTGAGATTTCTCCTGAGGGTGCTCTATTGTAGGGTCTTTGCAGACAATCGGCTAGAAGAATTTTTGTCTGGAATATAAAGGGGCAAGCCATTTGCCTAGGCCAAGGCCCTTAAGAGCTCTAGCTGTTGGGAAGAAATTCTCCAGCTGTTGAGCCAATCTGTGTGATGTCTCTAAACCCGGGTAGTTTCCCAGTGATGCTCACTAACTCTGAGGAGCAGCCCCCTTCCTGCTGGACCCTCATGCGGGTCTAGGTACTTTCCTCTACTTTGGAAGCATTGTAGGGCACAGACTGTCTTGATGCTCTTTTTCTTGCCTTTCTTTTGATTTGAGCAAGTGAATTAGCTACTGCAGCTTGGTGTATATTAAAGGCTGGCTAACTGACGAGAGTGCATTAAACAGTAAAATAACCTGTCGGGGGTGCTGCCTCGGTGCTGATGCTGGGCTACTCCTGAAGGACGCCAGAAAGGCCTTGTTCAGGTGGGTAAGACTGCATGGAGTGGTTCCCATTGGTGAGTTCAGGGGGAAATGAAAGGGATATTCAGTAACTTCCTCCCTCCAATAGACCCTTTTAATGTCTGGAGTGTATGAACTTTCTCTCCGAAACTGCCATGTCTCTCCCTTTCCAGATCCTGTCTAGGATTACTACAATCTTTCAGAGAGCCACCACCGGGTCCTGGCTCTGTTTTGGTTATCCCATTTAGGTGTGTGCCTCTGTAAAGGCCAACTTTTGTGCTCTCTGTGAGTTGCTGAAGTCTGGGGGTGGATCCGAGGGGCTTAGTGTGCTTGGGAGATGTTACAGGTGTGCACACACTTTCTGGAAGGCATTTTTGCTTCCCTCCTTCCCAGCAGACTTTGATGTCAGTAGGACTGAGCATTTACTTCTTTTATGGGACAGGACATTTATGAGGTATAGAGTTTGATACTGGAAAGACAAATCAATGTTGACACAAAGCAAAGGGGGTGAGTGGGGGGGGGCTAAGTATCAGTATGAGTCAGGGACCATGCTGGAAGTTTTTCATGCTTTCTTGTTTAATATTTGGTAGACTCTCCACCATGTGAATCAGCCTTTCCTCTGCGATCATTTTTCAAAGAACTCAAGAACCCAGCCTACTCTTGCCCTCCACAAGACTGACTCTTTGATCCAGAAAATGCCTCAGGCCTCCCTTCAGTCAGAAACACCTCCCCCCCCCCCCCCCCCCCCCCCCCCCGTGTGGATTTTCACGTCACCAGTCTGTAGAGGTTCTCCACTTCGGGAAGGCCTTTGCCAGACCCAGGGATGGACATAGAAGGACTCACATTTGCCGTCTCCAGTTCGCGAAAGCACAGCAGTGGCTGGGGTAGGTGAGGCTAGCCTCCACAAGAGTGACAAACTTTTCCAGACTAGGAAGCTTCTTTAAGCTGTACGTCGATCTGGCCTTCAGCTTCTTCAGATTTTCTAAGCCATGGCTGGGCAGGGACTGGACCTTTGTCCTTGAGATGTCTCTATTAGGAGAAAAGGTAAAAATATACCACAATCACTTTGGGTCAAAGATTTTCTGCTTCCAGTCAATAGACAAGCTAGCAGACATTCTAGTAAGGTGAGTTTTATTTTTGTATGGGTGAGAAAGGAGACTCCAGCTTAGCAGCACACCTGGGCCAGGCCAATCTTCAGCTTAAAAAGATGTGTGGCTTGCATAGGAGGAGTCCTGGTCCTATTGGTCCTGATGGGAGGATTTAGTTAACGGGCTGCCCTGATAACTGGACAGACCTGTGCATCCTGGCTGGTTTGGGCTTAATCCTGGCTGGTGAGTAGACTCAGTCATCTCTCTTCTGTAGTTGATTTGTGCCCGACCAAGATTAAGACCGTTTTCCTCCACCATGAGGGCAGCTATAACAATCTCTCTGGTGAACTGTGCTGGAATCTGTGGCCTGAATCATAGAACACGATGAGAAGGGAGCGTGCCACACAGGGAAGAGGAGTCTGGCAGGTTCAGCCTCAGCCTCAAGTCTAGGCGGCAGGTAGAGCTTGGCTTTCATGGCAGACTTATATGCATCTATAGCTTGCCCCTGTGCCTATTAGATCTGTGACCTTGGTCAAACTATGTGTTTTCTATGTCTCAATTTTCTCAGCTGTAAAGGGAGAGGATAGAAATCATAGAGATCCACAGTGAAGGAATACACAGGCAATACTCAATGCCTGGCAGTTATTAGGAGTAAACATCACACACATGCATGTCCGCACGTGCACATGCTCACACAGAGGCCAGCTTGGTAAGAGTGTCTCTGGCTGAGTGAGCTAGTCGACGTTTGGTAGGAGCTGGTACAGTAGGCTGGTTGCTATTCCTGGAAGCTTCTGAGATCCACACTAGTGATGGGGGTACCCTTCTGGTATCAACACTGGCAGCTGTAACCTTCAAAGTCAACATCAGCTGGTAAGGCCAAGGAGGTTCAAATGACACCATCTTGGCCCTGTAGAGACCATGGCGTGGTTGTGAGTGGGTGCTCCTGATGGGGGCAGTATGGCTTGGATGGTTCCTTTCAGCACCTCCAGGGGACCCTTGGATGGACTTGAAGAAGAATGTTTTAATGCTGACTTTCTCTGTAAGTCAAAGCAGTAGGCACTCAGAGAAACAGAACTCGAAGTGTGAATATGTCTTTGCTGCCCCATATGTTCTCACAGGCGGGTGAAAATGGCATTCTCAAAGAATCCCCTCCTCCCTTCCACGCCATTCTCCTGCTCAACGGTTTATCATGGCTTCCTAGTGTCCAGTGAAATCTCCTTGACTGCTGCTCCCTTGTCACCTCTCTTTCCCAGCCAAACTTAGGTTGTTTGTCTGTATATGATGTCACTCGGCTCTGTTTACCACTGATCTTCCTCTTCATTCTTATAGAAATAGTGCTGACCAAGGCCTCCTCTGGGTTCCCACCATCTTGACCCTTTAAATGTCTTGTGAAATGCTCTATTTTGCACTCCATTCTCCTTAAGTTCTTTCTGATTTTTTAATTTTATTTTATTCCTCTTCTGTCATTTGAACATTGGTATCTATCCAATCTTGTCCCTAGTCCCTCAGTTTCACATTATCGGGTATGTGGCTATGGCTTCCAAATGCGTATGCCGGTTCAGAGCTCAAACAAGACACCCCCTTCTCCATTGGAGCCCATGATTTTGATGATGTGCCTGAGCATCAAAACTGGACTTTTCTTGTAAACGTGTTCCTCTTATTCCCCATTTCAACAGGTTTCTCCTGTATCCTTCCCCTGATATTCAGATAGAAACCTGGGAGTTATCATTGATTCTTCCCTCTTCTTTCCTTGGACACCAGTGTATCTTCTCAACTGGCTTTTAGTTTGCTTTCGTTACTTCGGTGAGGGTCACCAGAGTCTCTGCGTGGTCAGATGAAATGGACCATAACACTTCTTCCATGACCATCTATCTCCTCTTTCCAGTACAGTCTTCACACCATAACTTGAACAAAAATTTTAGAAGGCTAGACAGATTATGACCTCAAATTCTTCAACAAGTTCCTGTGGTTCTTATGACAAAGGGCAAATCGTTGGGTGTGTTATGCCTGTCCCCTGCCTGGTTTATATTGTGTCTATTCCATGCCCTTATCTGTGCTCTGCTCAGCACTGCAGGAGGGCTGACCCCTGCCAGGTCTGTTTTTCATACATCACCTTGTTAACTGTGGGCGAGAAGCCTGGGGGTTGGCAAGAGAGCATCTCCTCCTATTCCTTCTTGCCTTAGGCAGCATCTGAATTACTTCTAGACACTACGGAGCAGATCAGCTAAAGATCTAGTTCTTTAACTTTCTCTAGTTCTTTGGCTACAGGAAGTCTATTTGTCACTTGCTCTTTGAGTCCTGGGATCAGAAGTGGCTATCTACTACTAATGATCTCCAGGCTGTTGATCCCCTATTAGATAGTCAGGTAGAAGCAGCAATTGCCTTTAGGTAGTACTTAATTATGATTTTTTTTTTTTTGAGACAAGGTTTCTCAGTGTAGCTTTGGAGCCTCTCCTGGAACTCACTCTGTAGACCAGGCTGGCCTTGAACTCACAGAGATCCACTTGCCTCTACCTCCAGTGTGCTGGAATTAAAGGCATGTGTCACCAGCGCCTGGCTACTTAACTATGTTATGTGTTTCTCCTTGTCAATTAAATCAAATTTGCTTATTCCAATTCAAATCCTCTACACTTGCTGATCCTCACCACCCCCATTCTGTCGTCACTGAGGGAAGGATGCTACAGTCTCCAGTTGTGATTCTGGATTTAAACGCTTCTTGTTTTGCTAATTTATGCTTTTATACTCTTGGTTATTTTTAACTCCATATAAATTTAGAGTTATTTTCCTCATGATTTTCTCCATATCTACTATTATCTGCCTCTTAACTCTGAAACCTTCTCTTATTTTCAAGGTCCTCCTGACCATCACCTGTTGGGACACCCGCGGACTCAGTACCTACAGTGTTCTTTTCTGTCTTCCCTTACACTGCACATGAGCCTGGCAAGCCTTGGGAGTCCAACACTGTGTTCTGGTTACTTCTCTGAGACCTCACGGCAGCCTCTGCTTGGATGCCCACTTAATCAGCATCTCAAGCTTTAGACACTAAAAATTAAGCTCTTGATTTTTCAAAACAAACAAACAAAAAACCAAACAACAAAACCCCTGCTCCACTTGCAGCAGGTTGGATGTTCCAACTTGTTGTAGACAGATTTTGATGGCATTCTTGACTCTGTGTTTCAGATCCTGTATTCAAGCTTAGAAAGACTTCTTGGTACGCCATGTATACAAACCTAACTGTTAACACTTCTCAGTCATTGTTATCACTAGAAGGAACAAATCCAGGTGTTCCAGGTACGTTTTCTAGTCTTCATCTTCGAATTATAATTTCTCAGATCCGGGGTCCCTGTCGATTGCAGGTCTGGTGCATCAACTATTGCCCACTGAAGAGCCTTCACTCTGCTGCTAATGAGTCAGCTCTGCTGGCCCGTGTGCCATTTCTCCTCATTGTTTTAGAGCTTTTCAACTTCTGTGCTCTAGGAGATCTTTCGGTTATTTTTCCCCTTTTCTTTAGGCAAACCTTCTTTTGAGCAGCTCTGCTACTGAAGTAGGTGCTCTACTCTCTCTTCTCAAACTCCATCCCCCTCTCCTTTGGGATCTTCCTTTTTCTCTCAAGTGTAGAAGAGGTGGAAGTGCAGGTACCTATTCTTTATGTTCAAAGATCTGCCCATGGAATAAGATGGAAGCATTAAAATTGATCAGGGACAATTTAAACTGGGCTACTAGTTATTTGTTAAGGACATTTCCCAAAAGCCAGCAATATAAAACCAAAGATCAGTTTTTTCTTAATTTTGCCTTCCTACTTGAGTTTGGAATATGTATGTAATTCAGATTAACTTTAGATAGCCGATGAAACAAACTTTCATATTCCCAAAATACTACCCTGTTACCTAATGTAGTTGCTGGTAGATTAAAGATTATTGCAAACTCTTTAACTGTCTTTCCATTAACCATCTATTTGCCCTTACCTGGAACCTGAGCTGAATTGTGAGGCTTTGAGGGAACAGAATATGAAAGTGTTGCTACTTGAGTTCTGGACACAGATTTTAAGAGCACCATTAGCTTCTGAATTGACTCTGGAGAGTCCTGTTAAAGAGCTCTCAACATTCAGTGGCAGCACATGTGTCTAACCTTTAGATGCTGCCATATGACATTGTTGCCTACAGAGTTCACATGCAAAAACTACCCAACCAAGCTTCTAAAAAAAAGTCACACAGAAAGTCTCATAATATTTTAAGTAAATTTATATACATTTCTATCAGCATGGTCAAAGTAAGTAAGTCTTGTTCAGTGTTGTTTGAGACATAACTACACTACTATTCCCATTTTTGCCCTGTTCTTCTGCATACACACACACACACACACACACACACACACACACACACACACACACACACTTTTCCTGACTATGATTTGCTATGGGATGTTTTTCTGTATGCTGTGAATATGTGTTGCTCTGATTGGTTAATAAATAAAGCTGTATTGGCTAAGGCAGCTTAGAGGCAGGCAGGAAACACAAGCAGATAGACAGGAAGAAAAAGGCAGAGTCTGGAAGGAGACACTGGCCAGTTGCCCAAGGAGCAAGATGCCAGCAGACCGGTAAAAACATGGAACATGTGGTAAAATATAGATTATAGAAATGGGTTAAGTTATAAGAGCTAGCTTATGAGAAGCCTGCCACAGGCCATGCAATTGGTAATTAATATAAGCCTCTGAATGATTATTTTATAAGTGGCTGAGGGACCATGGAGCTGGGCAGGACTGGAGAAACCTTCCTACTACATTTGGCTTCCCAACATGGGGCAAGAGTTTCCACCTAAAACCTGAGAAAGCTTTAAAAAAAAGACTCTAAAATGGAGCTAAAAACAGCTTCCTAGTTTTGTCTCTCAGGCAAGCTGTGAGCTACAGTATGGAAGGTTTGCCGCAGTGTGTGGGCTTGACCTG